TACCTTGGGCGACAGTTACGTCCGCCTCCGACATCTGCTTTGGTCCCATATAGGAGAAAAAAATAGTTCTTATAAGGAAAGGGCGGAGAGGTGACAGGCTGGGTTGCTGTGTCTGGTTAGTAGGGGCTTATGTCCCACGTGGTCCAGTTCTCCCCAGCTGACGCATCCCCGCCACTCACCCCACCACTCACCCCCGCCACTCACCCCCCTGCACTCACCCCCGCCACTCACCCCGCCACTCACCCCCACCCATCACCTCCGCCCATCACAATCACCCCGCCACTCACCCCCGCACCTCACCCCGCCACTCACCCCCGCACTCACCCCTGCCACTCATTACTACTACCAATATGCCCTCCAGCCTCCCCCAATACCCATTCCTTTGCCACCATTTTATTACCTTAATATTAAATATCCTAATACATAAGTAGCTATCCTATCTGTGTTGAGTTAGTTGAGCCGCAGATCTATGCGGTACTCAGTGACTGTAGCCTCATAGTCAATATCTGCAACTGTTGTCGGCTTTGGGGCCGATGCTCTCTTTCCCCTGAGGCAGAGTAAAGCCGACCGAAGGAGAGAGAAGGACAGTCGGCATCTCATCCAGGCTGTAACATAACTTCTGGGCTGTTCGGATATCACCTCCGCGAGTCTGGCATAGAAACATCTTGCCCTTGGTCCCATCCCACCAGAGGTTGTGAACACTAGAGGAGTGAAGCTGTCTTGATCAACGTTCTGAATTCTCTCCCCGTATGCCCTATGCTTCCATGTCTGTGTTAAGTCGTTTCCTTTTACTTCTATATCCCTTTTAATATCTAATTATGTTATTTTTATTCCCTTTGTATCTATGTTTATGGTCGCCACTTACTTCCTGTTCCCTGTGTGTGTGTGTGTGTGTGTGTGTGTGTGTGTGTGTGTGTGTGTGTGTGTGTCACTAAAACCTTTACTCTAGTATCCTGCGTTTGCATCAGGCTTCTCCCCTTCGTCCTCCCCCTCTTCTGGTTCCTGTGGATGAGGAGGGGAAAGGGGGAGGAGGAAGATGGAGATGGAGGAGGAAGAGGAGGAGGAGGCAGCAGGAGAAGGAAGAAGAGGAGGAAGAGGACGGAAGCGGAGGAAGAGGAGGAGGGGGAGGGACACTCACCACGGGCAAGGCCTTCGGTGCTGCTGCCACGCCCTTCCTGCCCCTCCGCCCCTCCCACTGCCCCGCCTCGTCCCGCCCCTCCGCCCCGCCGTCGGCACCTACGAATCATCGATCGCCCGTCCGCCGCTCTCACCTGCGCAGTTTGTGAGGGCCACACTTAAAGCTGTGACTACTAGCGAGCGAACGGACGCCTCCTCGGTGTAAAACTCGCAACAAGGGGAAAGGGAGGATAGAGAGGGGAGAGAGGGAGAGGTGAGAGGGAGGGGGGATAAATTTGGATCAGGGGTGCACCACCTGGTCAGTCAATATGGTGTTGTTATTGTTTTCCCATATGGTGAACCTAGTGGATTAACTCACGTATATTAGCCGTAAGTGGATGATGTCAGGATACACGTAGAACTAAAAGATATAAGAAGAGTAATGAGTAAAAAACAAACAAATGTGGTTGATTATATAACTGATATATATATATATATATATATATATATATATATATATATATATATATATATATATATATATATATATATATATATATATATATATATATATATATATATATATATATATTGCATTCAAGACCTAAAGTTAAAACAGTAGAAATGGATAACATTTTAACACTCATAACAAAATCTTTAGTTTAGCACGAACACCCCAGACACCATGCACTAGTCCAGCGACACTGCGGGGTACCCGATGGCAAACACTCACTGACGGGGGAAAGACATTTCATTATTTCCCATCATTGACGGAAGAAAAGGCTCTGGAAGACTGTAAGATTCGGTAACTAATTGGCTGAAGGACAAGCTAAGGCAACCGAAGAATGCCTCAGGTAACACAAGAAGGATGGGAAGCCTCTGTAGGTGTAGCGTGCAAAGAAATGTCCAAAGTCATCAAAAATTTCACGAAGACACGGAGCCGAGATGCCAGAGACCAGTGGAAATATTATCCCTTAACAACTGTATTACTCCCGCAGCACAGACCAGTTTATTTCCAGTGTGAATCGATTTGTTAAAACAACTCATAAGTGGACAGTATCCCAGACAAGACAACTCACATAAGCTGAAACATTTGAAGTTAATGTTATCGTCTTGAAAGATCCCGCTGCCTTTGTTCGTATTGTGGAGCTCCCGGAAGGACACACGTTCTTTTGTGGCCTCTCAGATCTTGTGATGTTGGGTCCTGGAGTCTCAGATCTTGAATTTTTAAGTCCTCACCGGCAGATTTTGGACTCTCGGGTCATAGTTTTAAAGGTTTTGCACTCTCAGATCAAGGACTCTCAGATCATGGACTCTCAAACCGTATATTCTCACATCTTAGATTCTCAGAATCTAAAAGGATGACGCTCAATTCCTGTACTCTCAGATCCAGGACACTTAACTCTTGGAAGTCAAGTCTTAGACTCGGAGATCCTATTTCTTATGAAGTATTCCTAGTTTCTCCTCTACTTTTCCTTCCCCTCCAGATAGACCTCAAGATCCTCTCCCAATTGCGGCGGAACAATAATTTAATAAGTCAGTAGGGCTTTGCATTTTTCTTGCTCCTCCAAGTGATCAAACACTGAGGTGATAATGAATTTGTAGATCATTATGGGTATTTCAGCTCCGGTGACTGTTCCCGCTTGGCCCCTCATGAGGTATTCCCACAACACAACCCCGAATAATCATTAGCAGGTCAGGAGGAGGAGGAGGAGGAGGAGGACGAGCAGGAGGAGGAATGTGTATACTCCTCTGGTGTCTGAATGTGTCATTAAAGGCAGGAATATGGTGTGCCCCCTGATGAGGATGCCTTCCCCTACTCTTGCCCTACCCACCACCTCTCACTGCTTACCTCTTGCCTTGCCCACCGCCTCTCACAGCTCACCTCTTGCCCTGCCCACCACCTCACACAGCTCACCTCTTGCCCTGCCCACCACCTCTCACAGCTCACCTCCTGCCCTGCCCACCACCTCTCACAGCTCACCTCTTGCCCTGCCCACCACCTCTCACAGCTCACCTCCTGCCCTGCCCTCCACCCTTCACTGCTCACCTACTTCCCTACCCATTACCTCTCACTGCTCATCTCATGCTCTACCCATCACTTCTCACTCGCCATTTTCTGCTTCATTTAGCCTTAAGTAGCATATTTGTTTACCACATCTTCTCTCCATAAATATTATGAAGTCTTGAGTGTAACATGCAACCTTGAATTATAATAAAGGAACTAATAAAGTAAAACGACAAAAGCCACGTTCAGCAGACATCATCTAGGACTAATATTTCTAGAGTTTCAATTCTCTTTTCTCTCTTCGTCCAACTTCACAAATTCATGGATCTGACCTTAATTTAACCAATGGATTTGAATCCCTTTTCTTATGTATAGTTGACCGAAGTAAGTACGTAATAAGAGGATGATATTCCACAACTTTTTTATATACTTCTCTTGCTAGAAGTAAGTCTTGTCAGTACATGGCTATATACAGTGGTGTCAACACATGTCTACTGAAGTCCTCTCTCACCTGTACATTAATTAAGGGACCTCTTGCACCTCTCCTTAGATAACACATTGAAGAAGACATGAATTTTTTGCCACATTACTTTGAATATAAGTTCCTCCGCCCCTGTATCCTCCTCCAGAAGGATTCCTATTTCTTGCTCCTCCGGAGAGACGTCCAGTTTCTGCTCTTGTAGAAAGTCATTTAAATTAGATCTTTTTTCTCCATAACTCTCAATTCCTGAAATTAAAACAACCTTGTATAAGGGGGAGGAGGATCGGCTGGGGCTGATGAGTTCCTGAAGTAAATCTCCCTCCTACAACATCCTGCATGACAAAGCCCCATCGGAGAGATAATCCTTATCTTTGACTGTTATAAGCCATCAACCTCACCAGTGCCTCAACTGTCCCTATCTCTCACTGTTGTAGTCTATCAATTACCTTCACTGTTCCAACAATCATTCCCGCGTCTCAGTCATTGGTTCATTTGCCTCAATCCATCAATAAGCAAAAATCTTGATCCATATCAGAATTGTCATCACCCATCAGCAGCATCCATCCATCAACCGATCAAGTTGATTGGCTGTATCTGTAGGGACATGAACTAGTCCATCAAGTGCCCTAATCAGTCATCTGTAGGGACATGAACTAGTCCATCAAGTGCCCTAATCAGTCAATTACTTCCATCTATCAATTTCCTCAATCCATCAGGTTCCTCTATCTAATTTTAGCCTTAACCTATCAGCGTCAGCCCTCCTTCCAACAAGATCCATTCATCAGTTTGTCTAATCTATTCATTACTCCAGTCAATACACACATCAACTAACCTAATCAATCAACCACATCAATCAACTCATCCTTCATCCATCTTGATCAATTGCCTGTTCTTTTCTATCAACCACCTCAAGCCCATCCATCCACCCGCTTCAATTAATCCATCAATCACCCACTTAAATCCACTAACCGTATGAAATTAATCCACTCATCCATCCATCCACTATCAAATCCTAACTAACAGTCAACTTCTGCTGTGAGGTTTTGATGGTAGCCACAGATCGTGTTGTGAGTCACGCTGCCCCACGAACCCTAGCCTCAAGAATACTCCACCTACGCATGTCCAATTCTCACGTCACCTCGTATCCGAAACCCTGTCTGCGAGAGAAGCCAAAACATACCTCAATTATCCCCCTTCTTTTTCCTTCTATCTGAACAAAATTCTATCACAATATTTCATTAATATTTACAATGATTATTTAATGTTTTAGGTATGTCCAGGTGATTGTAGTTTTGTCTCTATATAAAGGGAATATATTGACGGGATTGTTAGAGCATGCGCGTCCAACACTTGTTTGAATTTCGCGTTGAGTCACATTATAAGCGGGGACGGCCCAGCAAGCTTCTTCAGTCGACAGCACATACATCTCGGGAGCGGACGGGTTATATATTTGTGCGACTACTTTGTGCTTTTTTGTTGATAACCGCTGGAATTACGAGCTGTCTACACTCTCAGGTAAGACGGGTCACTCACGTCATTTATCACGAATTTAGTGAATGAGACACCTTATGTAATATTTCATGTAGATATAATGTAAGATTTTTCATTAGTGTTTTTCATACATCATAATTTCGTCTGAGATAAAAATCGAATAGTGTCAAAGATAAGGATATACTGTTGACTGTTAACTGTAGACTGTGTTAGTAAGTGAAGGAAGAAGAAATATATCAAAACTGTGGACTGGTTGACAAAGGCTCGAGACTATGAGAGAGTCTTTAGTAACGATGAGCCTCAGTGGTATTTGGATGTCATTTTCAGCTCGGCTTTTGTCTCTTGGCTCGAGTAAACAAGTTAGCCGAGTCCTCACTTCACCTATCAGAGGACAGTTATTAATTGAACCATTGAACGTCGTGTCTGGCATAGATTACCATATTTCAATAGTATGGTCTTATACCATCGTAACTTTTAATATATATTTTTTTCTATTATGAACCAAATGTAACTTCTTCCCTTATTCCTTCCATCTGCAGTTAACGACCAAGCAAATAAACAGAGGTTATGAAAGATTGGCGCATGCGTACTAAGCCTCTTAATGTCTTGTGTCGGCTACCGGATGTAAGGTTAGGATTAATTAAGAAGAATATTGTTCACATTATCGCATTAACCCTCTACGATATCTACCATGTATCGTCCTCGCGCACTTATACTGTACATATCGTTCTTTACATGACCCATACTATATATAAATATACATATATATATATATATATATATATATATATATATATATATATATATATATATATATATATATATATATATATATATATATATATCTTTATCTTTACAAGGTATCGTCTTCTCCCTCCTCAGGCTATCGCAGTTGAAGCGATCATCTCTTGAGCATATACACGGCTTCCCAGAACTGAGCATCTGCTGAGTTGAACACCTACAGAGCGCCACCATCATTATGTCGCTGGTCACAGTTTTGGGCAGTATGGGTACCGGGGGCAGGGTTCCTGGCAAGGGCAATGGTGAGTTCCCTGTCACACCTCTGCTTGATAAAAAAAAAACTGTTTTTCTTTGATACATCTACGACACCTGTGCTATACTTTAATACATCTACGACACCTGTGCTTTACTTTGATACATGTACGACACCTGTGCTTTACTTTGATACATGTACGACACCTGTGCTTTACTTTGATACATGTACGACACCTGTGCTTTACTTTGATACATGTACGACACCTGTGCTTTACTTTGATACATCTACGACACCTGTGCTTGGTTCCTCATCATCTCTGACACCTGGGCAAATACACTCGTTCTTTGTCGCACCTGCAGTATACTTACTCATCCTCTGTCGCACCTGCGCTTCCACACTCACCATGTTACCTCTGCGCTTGTATATACTTTCTGCTCCATCTGTACCTGGTTAGTCATTTCCTGTTGCACCAATACTTAGTTACAACACCTGTGCACTGATTGATATATATATATCTATAATTCTATATAATATTGTATGTCTCTTGGCTATACACGGCTACAGTTTACATGATAGAGACCTGAAATTTGGTTAGGTTAGGTTAAGTGTATGTACTCCAGAAATGTCACGAAGGTTAAATTTTGAAAGATTGGCCTTAGTGGTCCGCCCCCCCCCCCTCATTAAAAAAAACATTTAAATTGGGGGGGGGGTTACTTCTGGCCGACCAAAATATTTAATTTAGACCTGAAATTGGGTATTGTTGTTAGACTTGGCCAAGGATAGTGAAGTAAATTTAGTGTAGATATTAGTGTAGTGCATGTTGTAGAAAACAGTAGTGAATGTAGAGTCGTCATGGGAATTGGCTATAAACTGCCATTTCTAAACAAACCAGGGCAACGCCGGGTACCCCAGCTAGTTATGATATATACAATTGTACACTATTATTACAGTGTTTATAAAGTTCACGTCACAATTGTTGTAGAAAGGTGAATGAGTGGGTTAGGGAAAACCAAGCTCTGTCTGAGAACACAGAGCCACATGCGGCTTTTGCGGCATTCACCCATGGAGTCGAGCATCGCCGGAACTACCTGATGCGCACTATCCCTGATATTGGACCCCTCCTCCACCCTCTGGAAGAAGCTATCAGCGTCAATTTCATTCCCAAATTAGTGAAACACCCTCACTTAACCCCAGCAGAAAGATCACTCCTTGCACTACCACCGAGACTGGGAGGTATGGGATTGACCAATCCAGAGGAGATTGCTGCCACCGAACATCAAAAGTCAGTTAATCTCTCGGCAGCCCTCACAGACCACGTAATAGCTCAGAACGCAACAGGGGAGGTGGATACCAGTGAAGTAAACAAGATTCGAAGGTCCATTATGACAGATCAACATCACAACCAAAGTGAGAAGTTGCAGCAACTGTTGCTGCAAGTACCAGAGATTTTGAAAAAAAAAGTAGCTATAGCGCAGGAGGTGGGCGCCTTGAACTGGTTAACTATGTTACTGATAAGGACAAATGGTTTCAGTCTCACTAAACAAGAATTTACAGACGCCAATGCTCTAAGGTACGGTTGGCCAGTAGAAGGTTTGCCCTCCCAATGCGTGTGTGGCTCTTCCTATGACGTCGATCACGCCATGGTGTGCAAGAAAGGGGGCTTCATATGCATGAGGCATGACGAAGTAAGGGATCTCACAGCAAATATGTTGAAAGAAATCTGCCGTGATGTCAGGGTAGAACCGACCCTCCTTCCATTGGACGGTGAGATTTTCCAACATAGGACTTCAAACACATCCAACGAAGCCCGTGTTGATGTCAGTGCTCGAGGATTCTGGACGCGGGGACAGCAAGCCTTCTTCGACATCAAGATTTTTTTATTCCATGACCGCATGTCACCGTAACTTTGCTCTCGATGCTGCACACAGGAGGAACGAGAACGACAAGATAAGGGCATACGGGGAGAGAACTCAGAACGTTGATCAAGACAGCTTCATTCCTCTAGTGTTCACAACCTCTGGTGGGATGAGACCAAGTGCAGGATGCTTCTACGCCAGACTCGCGGAGGTGCTATCCGAACAGAAGCAGCCTCCCAGAAGTTATGTTATAGCCTGGATGAGATATCGACTGTCCTTCTCTCTCCTTCGGTCGGCTTTGCTCTGCCTCAGGAGAACGAGAGCATCGGCCCCAAAGCCGACAACAGTTGCAGATATTGACTATGAGGCAACAGTCACTGAATCCCGCATTGATCTGCCGCTCAACTAACTCAACACAGATAGGATAGCTACTTATGTATTAGGATAGTTAATTTTAAGGTAATAAAATGGCGGCGAAGGTATAGCTATTGGGGGAGGCTGGAGGCCATTATTAGTAGAAAAAAAGGAAAGTTGTTGTAGTGCGTCACACACGTCACAGTTGTAGTAGTGCGCCACACACACACACACGTTACAAATGTTGTGGTGCGTCACACAGACACACACACACACACACACGCCACAGTTGTTGTAGTGCGTCACACATGTCACATTTGTAGTGCGTCGCAAACGTCACAGTTGTTGTAGTGCGTCACACACATGTCACAGTTGTTGCAGTGCGTCACACACACGTCACAGTTGTTGTAGTGCGTCACACACGTCACAGTTGTTGGTGTGCGTCACACACGCCACAGTTGTTGTAGTGCTTCACAGTTGTTGCAGTGCGTCACACACATGTCACAGTTGTAGTGCGTCACACACACATCACAGTTGTTGTAGGCGTCACACACACGTCACAGTTGTTTTAGTGCGTCACACACATGTCACAGTTGTTGTAGGCGTCACACACACGTGACAGTTGTTGTAGGCGTCACACACGTCACAGTTGTTGTAGTGCGTCAAACACAAGTCACAGTTGTTGTAGGCGTCACACACACGTCACAGTTGTAGTGCGTCACACACGTCACAGTTGTTGTAGGCGTCACACACGTCACAGTTGTTGGTGTCACACACGTCACAGTTGTTGTAGTGCGTCACACACGCCACAGTTGTTGTAGTGCGTCACAGTTGTTGCAGTGCGTCACACATGTCACAGTTGTAGTGCGTCACACACACGTCACAGTTGTTGTAGTGCGTCACACACACGTCACAGACGTCACACACACGTCACAGTTGTTGCAGTGCGTCACACACGTCACAGTTGTTGTAGGCGCCGCACACGTCACAGTTGTTGTAGTGCGTCACACACGTCACAGTTGTTGTAGGCGTCACACACACGTCACAGTTGTTGTAGTGCGTCACACACACGTCACAGTTGTTGTAGGCGTCACACACACGTCACAGTTGTTGTAGTGCGTCACACACGTCACAGTTGTTGTAGGCGTCACACACACGTCACAGTTGTTGTAGTGCGTCACACACGTCACAGTTGTTGTAGGCATCACACACACGTCACAGTTGTTGTAGTGCGTCACATTTGTTGTGTCACACACACAGACACACACAGGTAAGGGTCAGATGAAAAGCTGTGCTATTTTCAGGACTGCAGCTGACCCTCACCTCTCATCCTTAACGCTATGGAGGGGTGAGGATTGGATAGGTAGTGGGATAGTCAAAACTTTTACTCCACACTGTTAAAAATACGGGATTAGGTCTCCCAACTCCATTCACATTTTTCATTTATGTATTTCTCTATCTGCCTGTTTCTTACTCTGTCTCTCACTCCCTCTCTCACTCATTCTCTCTTATATTTTTACATTTTATCTCATTCTTTCTTATTATCTCTCTCATTGTCTCTTTTTATCTCTAATTCTCTCTTTTTATCTCTCATTCTCTCTCTTCATCTCTGACTGCTAGCGCCTTCTTGCACACACATCCTCCCTTAGGGCTACAAACGGACGGACACCCTGGGATACCTCATGTGTTTACCTCTATGCATTGTGGTGTGTGTGTGTGTGTGTGTGTGTGTGTGTGTGTGTGTGTGTGTGTGTGTGTGTGTGTGTGTGTGTGTCAAATGCACTCTTAGAAGCTTTGACAGTAAGAGAAGAAGAAGAAGAAGAAGAAGAAGAAGAAGAACCGAGAAAGAAGGAGAAGAAGAAGAAGAAGAGTCGGGAAAGAAGGAGAAGAAGAAGAAGAAGCGGGAGAGAAGGAGAAAAAGAAGAACTAGGAAAGAAAGGAGAAGCCGGATAATATTATTCAAACTTCGTCTTTGTAAAGGAAAAAGTAGGTCAGGTTTGTGTTGCTCGCTAGACCCTTTGTAGTTAAGAGGAAGGTATGTGGGCAGAAGAAGACTGGCGAACGTTAGCTTGACATATTCGCCTGGCGCTAATGATTGCTGGCACTGGCTGGTTTTTTGTTTGTTTGTTTGTTTTTTTCACTCAGTCGCCCACAAAGGAAAAATGTCGACTTTAACGAGGTCCTTAAATGTTATGAGGCAATTATCTCGATTGTTTGAGTTAATTATTCACGATAAGAGTTACACTTATTATAATAACTGTGTATCCGGCTGCACGCCCCCAGGGAACTGTCTGGCGCTCTGATGGTGTGTGTGTTGTGGATGTTATGTATATCTTTCTTTCTTTCTCTTTCTTTCTTTCTTTCTATCTTTCTTTCTTTCTTTCTGTCTTTCTATCTTTCTTTCTATCTTTCTATCTTTCTTTCTATCTTTCTTTCTTTCTTTCTATCTTTCTTTCTATCTTTCTATCTTTCTATCTTTCTTTCTTTCTATCTTTCTTTCTTTCTTTCTATCTTTCTATTTTTGTTATTTATTTCTGTCCTTTATTCTGCTTTTTGTCGTCTTTTTTAATTATATTCTTTTTTCTTTATTATCTCCACTTTTTCAATTTCTTCTTCTACTTCTAATTATTATTATTCCTCTTTATTGTTGTTGTTCTTCTTATTCTTGTTTCCTGTTGTTGCTGTTGTTATTCGTTCGCTTCTTCTTCTTCTTCTTGCTGTTGTTGTTATTCCTCCTCCTCCTCCTCCTCCTCTTGTAGCACTTATTGAGAAAAGGTCAAAATCATGAAGTGTTTTACCTGTGATCTACCTTCTATACAGGTCATCCTATCATTAACCTACCTGGGACTAACCTCGTTCAATACATTACAACTTCCCATGATAACTTCTAATGTTCCTTTGTCCTCTCTTTCTTCCTTCTTTCATTTATGGTTTATTATTATTAACATCTTTTTCCCTTCTTTCATTTATGGTTTATTGCTATTACCATCTTTCTTATCTCTTTCATTTATGGTTTATTGCTATTAACACCTTTCTTATCTCTTTCATTTATGGTTTATTGCTATTACCATCTTTCTTATCTCTTTCATTTATGGTTTATTGCTATTAACACCTTTCTTCCTTCCACAGTATACGGATTTGGGGGAATTCCAGTAAGTATACCGGTACTTATTAATCAATTTTAGGCATGGGAAAGATTGTTGATAATGTAAGCTAACCTAAACCTAACCTAAACCTAACCTAACCTAAACCTAACCTAACCTAACATAAACCTAACCTAATGTAATGTAAGCTAACCTAAATCTAGCCTAAACCTAATGTAATCTAACCTAACCTAATATAAACCTAATTTAATATAGCCTAAATCTGACCTAATGTAATCTAATCTAACCTAACCTAACCTAACCTAACCTAACCTAATCTAATCTAGTCTAACCTAACTTAATATATTGTAACGTAACATAACCAAAACCTAACATAACCTAAACCTAATATAACCTAAACCTATTCTAACCTAACCCAACCTGGTCATTATGGATGGGGCCCAGTAGGATTAGAAGCCATTATAACTGGAACCCAATATGACTGGAACCCAATATGACTGGAACCCAATATGACTGGAACCCAATATGACTGGAACCCAATATGACTGGAACCCAATATGACTGGAACCCAATATGACTGGAACCCAATATGACTGGAACCCAATATGACTGGAACCCAATATGACTGGAACCTATTACTGGAACCTATTAGCACTAGGGCCCATTATACCCATTTATCTTAATAGAATATAGTACCCATTAATTTGTACTCCATTAATAGGCTTTACATAATAGGGGATGAACTTAATTGTTTCTCTTAATGACAGATAATACAGGTACACGTTCATTTGCATATGTGTAGTTACTATGAGGTGTTATGGTTCAGTAAATTACAAGTAAACTGTCTCTCTCTTGGTATAATTGGTTGTTAGAGCGAGTGTAATTGGTGTCTTTTTCAGTGTATTTGTTTGCTTGTTCTATATTTCTGTGGGTTTTTTTTTGTATTTTCTTTTATTCCACAATTTTCTTTATATTTTTCTATTTGTTTTTTTCTTTCTCTCTTTATTCTTCATTTTGTCTTTTTTTTTTTAATTCTGTTTTTCCTTTCTTTCTCTATCTTATTAATTTCTTCACTTTCTTCTTTGTTCAATCTCTCTCTCTCTCTCTCTCTCTCTCTCTCTCTCTCTCTCTCTCTCTCTCTCTCTCTCTCTCTCTCTCTCTCTCTCTCTCTCATAGTGAAACCTCCATATAGCGGCCTTCTCTCTTCATATAATCCATAAGAGGGGAGTGTCACATATAACGGACACTCGATATAACGGAATTTCCTCCGTATAATCCCAGGTTATGTAAGGTTATAAAACTCCCCCAACTCCCCAGCCCCCCCACCCTCGATCTGCTCCCTCACCGCACCCCTTCTCCCTCCAGCACCACCCTTCTTCCCTTATCCCCTTCCCCCTCCACAGCTCCCCAGCCCCTTCTACCCCCCCCCCTTTCCCCCACATCACCCTCCTGCCCCCTGTTCCCTCACCCCCAGGCTCCCCTTCTTCCCCCCCACATCACCCCTCCTGCCCCTCTTTCCCTCACCCCCTTCTTCCCCCACATCACCCTCCTGCCCCCTCTTTCCCTCACCCCCCCTTCTTCCCCCACATCACCCTCCTGCCCCTCTTTTCCCTCACCCCCCCTTCTTCCCCCACATCACCCTCCTGCCCCCCTCTGTTCCTCACCCCCCACACACACACACACACACTGCAGGTGACATACATACCAGAAGGATGCTTCACGTTCTGTCTGTTTCGGGGACGATTTCCAGCGACAGTTCAGTTTAATCTGTGGTCCCACCTGTCACCCTGCAGCCGAGGACCGTCATGCGTCGCGCCTCTGTGTCATGGACCTACCTGTATACCTGTGCGAGACGTGTCAGGTCACAGGTCTCGTGAGAGTGGAGGATCAAGGTCACACCAACACACCTAGTCACACTAATTACTGTACCTGGTCACTGTAATTACTACACCTGGTCACACTAATTACTGTACCTGGTCACACTAATTACTGTACCTGGTCACACTAATTACTACACCTGGTCACACTAATTACTACACCTGGTCACACTAATTACTACACCTGGTCACACTAATTACTACACCTGGTCACACTACTGTACCTGGTCACTACACCTGGTCACACTACTGCACTGGTCACACCACACACCTGGTCACACCTCACTTACACCTGGTCACACTAATTACTACACCTGGTCACACTAATTACTACACCTGGTCACACTAATTACTACACCTGGTCACACTAATTACTACACCTGGTCACACTAATTACTACACCTGGTCACACTAATTACTACACCTGGTCACACTAATTACTACACCTGGTCACACTAATTACTACACCTGTCAGTCACCTGTCTCACACCTTGCACACCTGGTCTACTAATTACTACACCTGGTCACACTAATTACTACACCTGGTCACACTAATTACTACACCTGGTCACACTAATTACTACACCTGGTCACACTAATTACTACACCTGGTCACACTAATTACTACACCTAGTCACACTAACACACACTTGTCCACCTTCCATTTTCCTCTGCTCTTATTTTTTTTGGGAGGGGGGGGGAATTATATATGACATTGACCTTTTTTATTGCATATTTAACCCTTTTTCCCCTTATGTACAGTTGTGGACAAAATTCCCTTGACACTTGGTAGTATTTAGGGACGATCAAGCGAGAGGGTTTACAGTTTTCACCGGTTTTCTACAATTTTTCAATTTCAATTAATTTTGTTTGTTCCGACATAATACGTGACGAGAAGGAGTCTTAGTAGATAAAAGTTAATCATGTATAACACCCAGACGTAGATCCCAGATATCACCAACTTTACGTTTTTTCCCTTTGTTTCTCATCCATTTTCCCCCTATGTAGATTTAACCCCCCTTTGTTTATCATCCATTTTTCCCCTTATGTAGATTTAACCCCCCTTTGTTTCTCATTCATTTTCCCCCTATGTAGATTTAACCCCCCTTTGTTTCTCATTCATTTTTCCCCCTATGTAGATTTAACCCCCCTTTGTTTCTCATCCATTTTTCCCCTATGTAGATTTAACCCCCCTTTTTCTATTGTGTCTCAACTCTCCACCCTTGTTTTCTCTACCCTACAGCCGTCTTTGAAGGAGAAAAAACTAAAGGAAGCAAAGATTCAGAACGCTGTGGCCAAGGCGAGAGTCACTACCCCTGAGACACACAACGAACCTAAAAAGAAAGAGGAGAGTAAATGAGAGAACGTGGAGATGAAGAAATGGTGAGTAAGTATATTTATCTGCATGTGTATGTGGTGGTAGTGGTGATAGTGGTGGTGGTAGTAGTGGTAGTGGGGTGGTAGTAATGGTGGTGGTATGTGGTGGTAATAGCGTTATCCATTGTGCAGTCATAGTTGTGGAATGAAAATGAATTTCTCATCAATATTTCAAAACACGTCAAGTGAACAGAAAAGCATGAGAGATGAGTTAGTTTAGACAGCAACTCCCAACAACTCACATGATAACAGGAAACTCGCACAAATATACGAACGTACAGTGAAAGGTTTAGTTGTAGAGTATGGTGTAAGAACAGTTGACGGTGAAACTCCTTATGGTGTTATCTATTAAATTTTCCTCTGTCAGGACTAAAGGGAACGCATCTACAGAAGCTTTTACTTATAAGTTTTTGTGTAATTTCAACGAAATTTTGACAATCTGTTTTGATTCCTAATTTAAGTGAGTCAGTTAGATGCGTCCTTGCGTCTCCAGTTACAGGGAAACTTCAAAGTGGCATTAGAAGTTCTGGACTAGAGTGTTGCCTCAGGCGGCCGCTTTCTGTGTACAGTACTCGGAACTCTTGACTAACCCGGATCTTTCTTGTGTTGCAGCTGTTGGTGAGGTTCTTCGTGCCTGGAGCAGCCTAGACGGAGGCTGACCGTTTTTATATCTGAAGGAGGAGCCGCCCCTGCTGGAGCCCTACTCGCACAAAGGCCAACAGAGGGCTTGGTAGTGGGCGGCTTCCTGCCACTTAGGTGTTCTTTGCTGACTGGCTTACTCAAGGGCGTCGTCGTCTGTCAGGGCCCCAGAGCGCTCTGCTCCCCTGTAGGGCCATCTGGACACTGAGCTAGTAGCTCTCTGAGAGTCGTGAACAAGTAGTTCACATCTCTCCTAGGGCTCTTGAACATGTAGTTCGCAGCTCTTCCAGGGCTCGTGGACGGGGAGTTCACAGCTCTCTAGGGTCACTTGTGGCTGAGACTGACGTCGATCTCCTGCCCATATTCTGATGAGGACGAAACCCACCATTGACGTAATGTTTGTTATGCTGTGTGCTGAGACACACATTGTCCATCTAAAACTGTATGAAAGTTATTATTTAGAAGAGTTATTACTCAACTATAAGACTTCATTTAACCCACCTAAGGGAAGATCATCACCTACAGACTAGTTGAAGGTCAACAATATGTTCACCTTCGACGAGCGCCAAGGTGTTTCCAAAGGGCGTCCTCTCAGGATCCGGGCGCCTTTTTAAACTTTTAAATTCCATCCTTTTTCATTAATCAAAACACGCGCGCAAGTATCACCACCTCCGCTTTGTACATAACGCAGCATGAAGCATTTCAAGCGAATATATGCTGTAGCTTCCTGACGAGAGATAACTAATGCCTTCGTACATGTCTCAATATTCACTAGACCGAGGTCAGAGGTCACCGAACCCTTGGTCAGGCTGAGTGGCTGCTGTCACTCGGCCAACTAGAGTGGCTGTTGTCACTCAGCCCAGTAGAGTGGATGCTATCACTGGGCCAAGAGAAGTGATCCTCTCGGCCAGAATGCGTGAATCTCGTCCAGAGAAGATTTGGGTGCACAAATTTCACTTTCATTTGGCTTGGCATTGCTCAAAACCTGCAACGACGTCGCTCTGTAAACGACAAAAATGAAGAAAAAACTATATACCGGTATACATAAAGAAATTTTGTCGACGACTGCTGTTGAGGCGACGCTGTCAAAGGTGTCCGCTGTCAACCTCTCGTATGGTGCCTCGTGATTATCCCCCATAGAATTTTCTTGTCAAATCTTAATAAACTATTTTTTTGTGTATCTAGCGGAGATCTGACCAACCATATGTTCATTATTTTTCCAAAGGCTTCGGAGAGGATTCTTGAAGGTGAAGCTCTCCTGAGGGACCAGTTTGTATGGCATTATGGCAGAAGGAATTTATACATATATATTTTCACTTAGAAACAATGTAGTGTGTGACTGGCGATGATGTAGAGAACATGTAATTTTCTATCGTGGAGTGAATAAAGTAACGTTATTATGATTTACTCGTTAATGGAGGATTTAGGCGAAGACAAATCAAACGGCCCATTATTTCCTCACATGCGTTCTCCCTGTGGTTCTTATCAGTCTGTTGACCTCACACAATCAATACAGGATCGACGTGGATTCCTAATGACATGTTTACCCCTTAATTATATATATAAAGATGTATTAAGATTTATATTAAGAAAATGCTATTGTAAGAAAATCCTTTGTATAGCAGTAAAAGGCCTAGGGAAGTCCATTATCTACAACCCCTCTGTTCTTAGCCTTATCGTTTATCATTATTGTAAATAACTGTGGTGTTCAGGGATGTGGTGTAGCCTGCCAGGGTCACTCAGTACTAATCCTAAAGGGTACCGGGGAATCTTAAAAGGATCTAAGGTCATCATTTAAGGTCCTACCCTCAAATTATCGCCAGTACTTTGATAAACGTAAACTGTAAAAAGAGTCATCATAACACGGACTGGGTGGAGACAGAGGGGGATGGTGGCGATGGTTCCTTCTTATAGAGTGACATGTCAGGCGAGACTTAAGGGTCAGATCTCAGAGTTTTCCTAATATTTATTTGCAAAAGGAGACAGACAATTACATGACCCCCTTCCCGGATAGTCTCTCAGCTTGAAGACGATGGAGCACAGCTTTGTATCACTGAAAAAGCTTAAAGCTGTTTCTTGGTGCCACAAAAAATGCTCAAGTTTCTTAATGCGGTTTAGATGACATGGAAGAGTCTTAGGTTACTCGGGTCAAAGGGAGGAAAAAAAATATTGTGTGTGTTTGTGTGTGTAGACTCCTGGTGCCGTCACAGAAGAGGCTACGGAGACTCACAGACCTACCGCGCTGAGCCAGACTCATTGATGTGCTGAGGCGTTCGTGTGTCCCTCACCCGTACTCATCAATTCATTCAGGTTATCAATGGTGTTACCCCCTACCCCCCCCCCTTCCATCCTTAAACCTCCCCACCTCCTTCCTTACACCCCCACCACCCCTTTCCTTACACCCTCACCCCCTTCCTTAGACCTCCCCACCCCTTCCTTACACCACCACCCCTACCTTACCCCCACCCCCTTCCCCCACCCCCTTCCTTACACCATCACCCCTACACCCTCCCTTGAGAAACAAGAAAATTTACACGTATTTTATATTACTTCAGCATATGATTCCTGTCTTATAATACCAGAAGGGAAGAGATATAACCGTTTTATTGTACTTCATATTATATCATTTCCAGGTGTAAAAAAAGGTGTGTATTATCCATGAATTATGTAAAGTAACAAAAATAATACGAAAAAGCATCATTCCCTCAGATATGACTGAGGGTAAAAAATGCATATCAGATAATTATATAGTCGATTTTTTTTTTATACTGAGGGATAATATAATTGATGGCGTGAAGAAAAGGGACTATAGAGGTTTATATATGGTTTATAAATATATATATATATATACATACATACATATATATTTCTGTACTCTTGGTGATGATTAAGCTACAGTGTTTAAACATTCGAGTAGTAGTTTATAACACTTATTAGAGGATATATCGTCTCGTTTATTTTCCCGTTATTTTACAAAAGTCAACACCTCGATTGTTTGTGTCTCTCAGGGTCGCTGATTAAGTCTTTAGTTAGGAGTTATTTAAGTATTTTCCCTATGCTGTTTGAGTTCAATTTTACTTAAAGACTTATATATCCAGAATCAATAATTATTTTGGGGTTAAGAAATATCTGTGAAATTATGAGCTCACCTTTGCAGCAGTTTCTCTTTTTTTGTCTCTTTCGCTCTCTCTCTCTCTCTCTCTCTCCCTTTCTCCCTATCTCTCTTTCTCTCCCTATTTCTCGTTCTCTCCCTATCTCTCTTTCTCTCCCTATTTCTCTTTCTCTCTCTATCTCTATCTCTCTTTTAAACTTTACCACTATCAACCAATCATATACAGTCCTGGACAAATGAAAAAAAAAATGAACAATATTCTTTTGGGTTAACAACTAATTCTCTATACACTTCTAACACTGAAGACTAAACAATCGAGATGCTGTCAACACTCGCATGCGGTGTGTGAAGGGGTATGCTAATGTTTCCATACGTGTAAAAAAAAAAACGAAAAAAAAAGAAATGGAACAAAATATGTGAAAAATAAATTGTGCCTTGATATGTTACGTCATGTTCTTCTGCATCAACGTATTTTCTCTATAGAAACACACAGACAGTCTCTCTCTCTTTCTCTACTGTAGATCACTTAGTTTATTATATATACCCATATCTGCTGTAACTCTTCCAGTAGGGTGAGGTTAAGACGTGATGCAGCTGATGGTTGCTAATGAGTGTGTTCCCCTTGATTATCAACAGGTGAGAGAGAGTATTCACCTTAATTACAACAGGTGAGAGAGAGTATTCACCTTAATTACCAACAGGTGAGAGAGAGTATTCACCTTAATTACCAACAGGTGAGAGAGAGTATTCACCTTAATTACCAACAGGTGAGAGAGAGAGTATTCACCTTAATTACCAACAGGTGAGAGAGAGAGTATTCACCTTAATTACCAACAGGTGAGAGAGAGAGTATTCACCTTAATTATCAACAGGTGAGAGAGTGTGCTCACCTTAATTACCAACAGGTGAAAGTGTTTAATTAAAGGTAACATAATGATCAATGGGTATACTCCTACACTGTGTTCTGCTCTTAAGTGAAATAGTCCAGTTTGAACATAAATTGAACACATTAACACACACACACGGAAGAATTATGTATTAATAAATCATACACACACACACACACACACACACACACACAAGGGTTGGACGGGATGTAAATAAAAGTAAGAGAGGAAGACACGACAAACAAACAAACACAAAATTATGTATAATATAAACAAAAACAAAATACACATAACCAACACCAGTTAATATTGAAGTGTCATGTATGTAACGTCAATGTGTGTGTGTGTGTGTGTCAAGACCATCACTCTCTGGGAAGTTGATGATATGGCTAAAACTAATGTAACTATATTATTCTTTTTAATCACACTACTCGCTACGTCTCACAGGGGCTGCTACCACCCCCTATCAATAGTTCTCTTATCGGTAATATTAAAAAAAAATGTGTTTGTACAAGGTCATATTTCTCAATAAATGTCTTCCCATTATTCCTGACTTTCCATTATTTTTTTTCGTCCAGTAATGTTATTCGTCTTTGTATTTCGTCTATTGATTATTATCGTTCACCTGTATACCTCTACTAGGTTAATTAATATCGAAACAAAATGAAAATATACCCTATAGGCCTAAACAATGAAATGATTTTCTCGGATTAATAATTAAATTTTTTTGATATAAATTTTTTTAAATATTCTCTCATTGTCTCTACAACTTATATAGGATAATAAAATAACTAAAGACGTAATGGATAATTTATTACAATTATCAGATAAGAGATGATAAACAAGTGTATATAATATAACACGATAAGAAGCCAAAATTTTTAATACACATCACAATAAAAAAAAATCTGATAGTGTAAAACTTCTTCTTGATATCATACATAACAAAGTAATAATAGCAGGTGGTGATAACGAAGAATTAATCACTGGAATAATATCTAGATAAAAGATAAGAATCATAATGAACAAAAAAATTACTTAAAATTAATAAAGAAAATATCTTCATTGTTATTGTTGTTATACATTTACTAACACCGCTTTAATATCATTCACTACAACCATACACCAAACAACAACAACAACAAAATATATATAAATAATCTTTTAAAATATGAGATCTGCTAAAAAAAAACCCTAGCAGTTAACAAAAGTCTTAAATACTTCTTATCTGAAAACAAAAATAATTATACTTTTCGTTTTACATCACCAACCTACTGAGAATAGTTATCTAAAGGTAACAACCAACTCATATGCCAATTATAGCTCCTATAATTTAGTAAAGCATATGAGAGTCCTTCCTTAGAATCTATAACTGATTCTTAACACAAGTATAATTGAATCCTTAAACCTAATAGCACGTATAGAAGGATCTGTGAAGGAGAGATAGCAGAGATAAGATAGGAAGAGATGAGAGACAGAAAAGGAGACAAAATAATGGGAGAGAAAAAAAAACGGAGGATTTTATGAGGAGGAAGAAATTGGTGGAGAGAGATAGAGACAGAGAGAGATAGGCATAGAGAGAGAGAGAGACAGAGAGAGAGAGAGAGAGACATATACAGACGTAAAGAGATATAGAAAATGGCATCATCAGGTGGTCATCATCATTCATTTGTATCATGGACGAGATTCTCAGATAATTTAAAGCTTTTTCTAATTTATTTATTTATTTATTTACTTATTTACTTATTTATTTATTCCTTACATTAATCACCTCTACTGTATGGCTGATGTTAGACTGTACAGCTGTTTCGACCATCGGCTAGAGTCATGGGAACGTTTATATGTGGTTGGTACTCTGAGCAAGATAGAAATTAACGGGTTGATTGGTTGACACATTGACATATTAATTCATTAACTAATTGAGTGGTTGAGGGATTGGCATATTAATTGATTAACTAAGTGATTGACTAATTTATTATACGAGAAAATTGATTACTACCGGTTATTTGTTTTGATCGTCAGTGTATTCCATCTCAACTTCAATAACAACATAGTCGTATACCACTATAAAAGTTCTATAGGATATCAAAATAGATTGACGGATTGACTATATATATATATAATGATGAGTTGTTTACCTGCTATCCTCATTAATTAATATATATTCACTATTTATCCATCAAGCAAGATCAATATTATAAAAAAAAATATATTAATATTTTTTTTAATAAACAATAAACACAATTAAATCTACCTTGCTATAATTCCCCTCAACAATTGTGTATAATGTGTATTTGTTATGTAATCCGTATAGGTTGTTAGACGAGGACTTACACATAAATACGAGTATTATTATGTTGACGGGGCGCTCCACGGTGGATTAGTTTGGATTACATTTTGGGTTACTTGAAAATGTTGGCGCTTGGATTACATCTCGGATTACTTCAAGACGTTTTGGTGCCTGGATTACTTGGATTATTTGAAGATGTTGGCACCGGGATTACCTGGATTACTTAAAGACATTTTGGCCCGGATTACTTGAAAATGTTTTGGCCCGGATTATTTGGATTACTTGAAAACGATGTGGTCTGGATTATCTTGCAATGAAGAGACGGGAATGAGTTGGCGACTAATTCTGGATTACTTGGCGAATGCTGGCCCGGCTCGCCTGGCGAAGGGGAATCCTCTGGCTCTGGTGTCTTGCACGAAGGCGCGTCGGTCAACACCTACTTGTGGAACGAACCTTTGGGGCGTGAGCACTGTTGGAGGCCATGAGGAATTAGTATTTGTGTAATAATACTACTAATACTACTACTACTACTAATAACACCAACAGGACCGGAAACTCATTTGATCTTTCAGGCGACATAAACCAAAAATTTGTCCCCTAACCAAGCCTTTACCTGAGTTATATTAACTTCAGGGTGGAAACTACATTTTTGGTCTTCTGGCTGTAAAAAAAAAATCCTTAAACCTCACCTGTAGGGCTAAGACTAAAGATTTGTGCAGAAGGACGTGATCTGGCGCCCCTAGCACCTGGGAAGGTGACATCCCTGGGTCCTGCGATGGGGGAGGCTGGGGTACGAGAGAGCTGCTGTAGGTCAGAGGGCAAGTCTCGTGGGATCTCACTGTCAATGAATCCGGAGTCTGAAACAAATGTCTCATAAGAAGAAGGTGTATTTGATGAGGATAGCGCGAGTGAAATGAGGTGTTACAATATGAGGAATGAGGTGTGTATGTGAGGAAGAATGGTGAGGAATGAGGTGTGTATGTGAGGAAGAATGGTGAGGAATGAGGAGTGTATGTGAGGAAGAATGGTGAGGAATGAGGTGTTAGTATTTATGAGGATGAGTAGTAAATGGAAGTTGGTTTATGAGGAATAATGAGTGCTACCACAAACAGTAACGAGTAGGATAACCCTCAAACAAATATTATGTTAGGTTGTAAGTCATGCCATGTTTTATTGGGCGTGTCTGCCTGTATATAGAGTATCAAGTTAGTGGAGATAGAGAGAGAGGGAGAAGGATGGTGTTGTGTGGTAGTAGGGAGGAGTTGTTTTTTTTTTGTTTTTTTTTTTTTATTGGGCACTCCCTTACATCCTTGTGTAAGGTGAAGCGCAGAAGCGTTTACAGTGCCCAACAGGGAAGCATGCTAAGTTCATGCTTGCCTTTTCGACATACACCAGGTACCTACTTTACTGCTAGGTGAACAGGGACTAGTGGGGGCTAGGAAGTAAGTCCAAACAACTTCCACCGGCCCGGGAATCGAACCCGTGACATCTCGCTTGCGAGGCAAGAACGGTACCGCTTCTACCACCTGTTTGGGTATAAAACACCTGACGCAACGACATGTGTCAGCCCAGGGGGCGTCTGCGAGGGGCACTGACACTCTAGCTCTTCCCATCATAGGCTGAACACCCAACCCATTCGGTTTGAGACCTTCAACACGTAAGTTCAACCTGTACTTGAGTTTATACAGGTAGTCTGTGTCCATTGTATCGCTTATCATTGTGACAACATGGAATTAGGCCAAATTAAGTACTCATTATAAACGTTATGCTTAGACTAATTACAAAGCTAAGATAACTATGATTGTTATGTTAATATGCAGTGGATTAAACATTTATGTATGCTTACCTATGTAGGATTTATTATTTGAAAAACTAAGAAGGAATTGTATTCAACAGGTTTGACCGAATTATAATGTTCGAGTTCAATGTGATGGGTCTTATTATCCCTTAATCGCTCTAAAGGCGATTACAGTGAGAATTAGAATGAAGAGGAACGGTCAAGGGAGGGAGGGAGAGAGAGAGAGAGAGAGATAGATGGACGTCACGGTCCTCGATGTGTCCCCCCCCCCCTCAACCTTCATTTTCCCAGAGGTGAGACACTCGGGCTGCTTACGTGACCTTGTGAGAGAGACAGGCAATATTCGTCAAGCCAGGTGTGTGTGTGTGTGTGTGTTCGTGCGCGCAGCGGAAAACCAGGTGCTTCCATATAAACAGTTCCAGGTATCTCTCAATACCTGTAATTGATTTCCAGGTAGTTATTGCCTTGCGGACACTGAAGGAGGCAGCAGCTGTCTGTCTTGTTCCGGGTGTGGAGATAATAATGAGCCGCTGCACGTGTACAGCACACCAATAGTGAATATCTCATGTTGTTGATGGATAAACATGTTGATTATTAGCTGTGGAAAGTTGTTGTAATTATTATTATTATTGTTATTGTTGTTATAATTATTAATATTATTATTATTGTTGTTGTTGTTGTTGTTGTTGTTGTTATTATTGTTATTGTTATTGTTATTGTTATTGTTATTGTTATTATTATTATTATTATTATTATTATTATTATTATTATTATTATTATTATTATTATTATTATTATGATGATGATGATGTGGATTCCTGAGCGCCAGGCCCGCAGGAAAATCAGGGTCCATGATTGGGCCTCCTCCAATGACACTGAAAGAATAGCCATCCTCACGGGCATTTATGAGGGCGCGGCCTATGCTCGCACTGAACGCCGGAATATTATTTTGACAGCACCTCTGCGCTAGCGAGTCTCAAATTACCCTCTCCACCCTCCTCTGCCGCCCAACACACCCAAGCCTAGCAAGCGAGCGGACCCGGGTTCGATCCCCGGGCAGGGTGAAACTATGGGAAATTTCTTTACGCCATTTGCCGCTGTCTACCCAGCAGTAATTGCTAACCTGGATGTTAATCGATTTGCGGACCGTATTCCGGGGTAATGATTAGCCGGGTCATGCAAATCGTAACTTAGGTTGTGGTTGTTGTGTTGGCGACAACTTCTACGCCTTAAACAAATTCACGCCTAGGTGGCCCTTGGGCCGGCCATCCTCGTTATAAGAGGGCAAATAGTATTCATTATTATTATTTATAGAGCAAACTTATGACACCCGTGTCAAGTTTATTTGGATCGCATCACATATGGGAATAACTGCCTGTGACACTGAACGAGGGAGTCCAGAGAGTGTGTGAGGGAGGTCGATGAACCCGGGTAAGGGGGTATGATAGGGAGACAGTGAGGAATATCGGGGAGCAGAAGCAGTGGGAGGGAAGATTGTGGTGGGGAGGGAAAGGGGGAGGCGAGAGGAGGGAAGGGAAGACAGTGAGGAATGTCGGGGAGTAGAGACAAGGGGAGGGGAAGAAAAAGGAAAAGTGTGGTTAAGAATGGTATGGATGAGGGATAGAGAGAGGATAATAAAGAAGAATAAGATGGACGTAGAAAGAGGTGAAGGGATGAGGGCGATTATTGGAAGGGAGGAGTGAGGGATGGTAGTGGGAGGGGAGGAAGAGAAGGTGGAGGAAAAGAGAAGATGTGAAAAGAAAGAGGAAGAGGAAGAGAGAGGTGAAGAGAAAGAGGAGAGGAGAAAGAGAGAGAGGTAAAGAGAAGGAGGAGGAGGAGAAAGAGAGAACACAGTAAGACAAGAGCTGACCTCATTCTCTGTAGGTACTGGGAGGGATAGTTAAAGAGAGAGAGAGAGAGAGAGAGAGAGAGAGAGAGAGAGAGAGAGAGAGAGAGAGAGGAGGGAAACATAAGAAGTGTCAGCTGGAGCGTCAGAAAAGAATGTCAGCAGGAAAAAAAAATTACCATCAATCTTCAACCTGTCAATTTCGTCAGGGAGATGAAACCTTTAAGGACCGATGTTAAGGCTTGAGAGTTTATCACGTAGAGTTGTACTAACTTGACCCCAAAACACCCGAGCAATACAATATATAACAGTATTTGGAAAATGTTGTAAAGAGGAATAAAGATGCATTTTTTTTGTTGATAGTAGGGCAATTTTGGAGTCTTTGAACAGCGGGAGTCCAGTCTTTGAACAGTGGGAGTTCAGTCTTTGAACAGCGGGAGTCCAGTCTTTGAACAGTGGGAGTTCAGTCTTTGAACAGCGGGAGTCCAGTCTTTGAACAGTGGGAGTTCAGTCTTTGAACAGCGGGAGTCCAGTCTTTGAACAGTGGGAGTTCAGTCTTTGAACAGCGGGAGTCCAGTCTTTGAACACAATATTGGTTCATGTAGAGAATTAATAAATACAATAAGGAAAAAAGGCCATAGTGTTCGATTTGTATGGGACCCTTCACATGTAGGCATTGGTTTTAATGAAGAAGTAGATATAATAGAAAAAAAAGCCACGGAAAAGGCCGAGAACGACATAATATGTATTAAAACCTTGAAACAATCAAGGAGCAAATTACGGAAAATACAACCAATAGAAGATAATTTAAAAAGGAATGAAATATATGAGAAAAGTGAAACAATGAAACATTACCATCATGTTCTCATGAACACAAATTTTACATATGGGAAAGATAGGAGTAGGTGGAAAGATTCAGTGTATATGAGGTTAAGATTAGGATATAAATATTACTGGGAACTTGGAGCTGAGAGACGTGAACAGGATAAAGAATGTAGAGTTTGTAGAACACCCAGATCCCATACCCTGCCACATTATATACCGGAATGCCCATTGCTTAATGTATATAGAAATGCCCATATAAATAATGTCCCCATGCAAATAGAGTGAATGTTTAAAAATAGGAAAATAGGTGAAATATTAAAGAAATATAGAAATTTTGCATCTAGAATATAACTATGTACTATAATTGATTATATGAGATATATCTGTATTAAGTCCTGAGAGGAACATTCCTGGACTGGGGTGGGGATGACTTATGTCACTTCATCCCTATGAGATGTATTTATTTTGTATCTCAATAAACTTCTCAATCAATCAATATAACAGTATTGATCAAGTGATCCTGATAAACATGGTACATACTCGCATAAACTGGTTCTGGGGTCATGGTCTACCTGTCATTACCTTAATACCTGACTAATAAGGAGACTAACAGGTAATGAGACGACTAACAACATCAATATTTGGCATCTACGTTTCTCTTGACATTTTTGAACTGGTGTTGAAAACTTTATGAATCCTGAATGTTAAGTCACTGAACGAGTTTTATAATGATGAGAATAGTGATTTTTCAAGTAATTCAACTCTGAAGTAAGAAAACAGGTAACTAGGGTGTTGGTGAATAGGTTACGTCAACTCTAAGGTAAGAAAACAGGTAACTAGGGTGTTGGTGAATAGGTTACGTCAAATCTCAGGTAAGAAAACAGGTAACTAGGGTGTTGGTGAATAGGTTACGTCAACTCTCAGGTAAGAAAACAGGTAACTAGTGAGTAGGTAACTAGGTGGCAGGTAGCTATGTCATATATACCAAGTGAGTTAACGTCACCTCCACCACATTAGGTAAGACACTGTATATTAGTATTGGCGTCAAACTGCATGTATGTATTGTTCAACCTTTTACCTTTCGATAAATATACGTCCATTTACATTCAAACACATCCACACACACACACACACACACACACACACACACACACACACACACACACACACACACACACACACACACACAACACACACATCTTTCACTCAATGTAATCACCGTTAATACCTGCTGAGAATTCTATTACTCATTCCCAAATCATCCAGATGCTCGTGTAGCCAGATCTAATGTGTTTACTTACCTCGGGGAGACACGTGAGGACCGAGAGGATGTCTGTCAGGTGTTATGTATGTCTTAGTCTTGGTTTTGTTACTTGGCTATAGAGGAA